AAAATTTTTTTTGACTAAAATATACAAAAAGTTCATTAAGAAAAAAAAACATGGAAAACAAAAAGCTCAAAAACAATTTTTGAGTTTGAAACTATTTACCTGTAAGGAACTTGCATGGCGGCGAGGACTCCAGATTTCTTGTACAAAGCTTCATAGTTTTCAAGATCTTCCTCTGTGAACCAAGGGGGTAGAGGAGTAGACGGTTCCACCAAATCCATGATCTCTTGGTTTTCTCCCGCTATTGGTATTTCACTTTTGGAGAAGAGAATGTAGATGTTCCGCACAATTGTTTTAACATCAAAGCGGCCAAAATCAGCTTCAGCTCGTCCAGGTTCCTAGTATTGAGATTACAAACATCAAATTGCAAGAAGCTAAAATTGTTTCTTCAATTCTAAGCAAGTAAACTGAAAAAGTTACTACTCACCTTCCACCTTGAGATGTAGAAACCTTCAGGTAGGTACTTGTGGTAAGTAGAGGGACTTGGGGGCACAAATGGCACACCCAAAGTTATAATTCCCGAGACCCTCTCTGGGTAGAGAAGGGCAAAAAAGTAAGCAGGCCGAGCCCCAAAATCTTTAGCAACGAGGAAAACCTACGAATAAAATGTGTGAAAAGACAGGAAAGAGATAAAAGGTTAAATGCTATATTACATGGACTCAGGTACAAGTATATAGTGCAGGTACATGGCCAAGTGTCACTGTGTCAGATCTTCCTAAATCTAAAGATTAGGATGGTGAGATATGCATCAAAACATTAGATTGGGGTACGTGAACACATCTTAAATATTATACATATTGCATATTATATAATGTTTGTAAATAAGATGCTTTAAATTATTTAGAAATGTATTTCTCAATGAGATTTAGGAAAAATATTGAATTTATTTCTCTCATTAGTGTGGGAAGCTAGATATGCTTATTCACCAATAAATGTGAGCGCGTATTGTTCTTCAAATATCATACAAAATTAGAAGATGTCTAAATTAAATCTGGCTGTCAAACACATATCACGTACCCTTCTAGACACGGGTATACTAGGGGAAGTAGAAGCATTCATATAACACAGGTTAAATGGCTTTTGTTTTAAAAAAAAATATTTAATTAGTTAAAGGACAAATTACACTAACGGTTCTTATAGTTTGAGACTTGTGTCACTCTGGTTAATGACTTTTCAATTGTGATACATTTGATCTTGAATTTTGAATCTCGGTCCAAATAAGGAGAATTGAAGACATAGTTGTTCCATTTCAAGAGCCAAGTCGTTAATTTGATAAAATATAAACTAATTTGACAAAATAAATGTCAACAAATTATTTTTGAATTTTTAAAAATTATTTTTACCCACTAAAGATAAAATTATATAAAAATGATAAATCTTTTACATTTTTATTTTTTTTATATTTTTTTTACCAACTTAATTTCTAGTATGTGTTTGAATAATGATCATGTAATTGGTGGTTATTTTTGTTGATATTTTTGGATGGTTATTAGATAATACATGGTTGTATTTGTTATTAATAGATATTTTTTGATAGTTATCGTGTAATAAATGGTTATTAAGCTTTTAATGTATAATCGATATATTTAATTTATGAAATATTTTTAATTTTAAATTTTTTGATTTAATGGATGATTTAATAATAATATCAAAATTGTCGTCATGTTTGACTTTTGAAAAGACAAAAAATAATTTAACGAAAATAAATATCAAAAAAAAATTATTTTAAAAAATTATTTCTACCCTTCCAAACCAAACTAAGCAAGTCCCATCAAATGGGATCGGCTACATGAATCATTCTTCTCCACGCGGCCCTATCAAAGGCCATTTCGTTAGTCAAATTAACTAGATCCATGTCTCTATTTACAACGCTAATCAATGTTAATCTAGGCCTATCCCGTCCCCTAACACTTCTTTCTACGGTTATAGCATCACATCTCTTCACTACTACCTCTGTTGGTCTCCGTTGAATGTGACCAAACCATCTCAATCGATTCTCTCTCTACTTATCTTTTATCGGTTTTACTCCTATCAATTCCCGAATACACTCATTTCTATTCTGTCTTGTCTAGTCTTGACATACATCCACCTTAGCATCATCATTTCAAAGCTCAAAAACAATTTTTGAGTTTGAAACTATTTACCTGTAAGGAACTTGCATGGCGGCGAGGACTCCAGATTTCTTGTACAAAGCTTCATAGTTTTCAAGATCTTCCTCTGTGAACCAAGGGGGTAGAGGAGTAGACGGTTCCACCAAATCCATGATCTCTTGGTTTTCTCCCGCTATTGGTATTTCACTTTTGGAGAAGAGAATGTAGATGTTCCGCACAATTGTTTTAACATCAAAGCGGCCAAAATCAGCTTCAGCTCGTCCAGGTTCCTAGTATTGAGATTACAAACATCAAATTGCAAGAAGCTAAAATTGTTTCTTCAATTCTAAGCAAGTAAACTGAAAAAGTTACTACTCACCTTCCACCTTGAGATGTAGAAACCTTCAGGTAGGTACTTGTGGTAAGTAGAGGGACTTGGGGGCACAAATGGCACACCCAAAGTTATAATTCCTGAGACCCTCTCTGGGTAGAGAAGGGCAAAAAAGTAAGTAGGCCGAGCCCCAAAATCTTTAGCATCGAGGAAAACTGCCTCTACTCCGGTTGATCCTCAGATTCGTCTCACTTCTCTCGATGGGACTCTTCTCTCTGATGCTACTCTTTATCGCCAGCTCGTCGGCAGTCTTGTCTATCTCACAGTCACTCGTCCTGATATTGCCTATGCTGTTCACATTGTCCAGGAAGAAGAGAGAAGGAGAGCGCGAGTAGTGTCCCCCCGCAAACTCAAGGAGGGAAAGCATCTACCAAGTTGAGTTTGGAAACAAGATCATGAAAGCGGCCAGGAGGATGAGCTTTAGTGAAGATATCAGCGGGTTGATCGACTGAGGCAATAGGAAGAAGATGAACAGTTCCACAGGTGACATGCTGGCGAATAAAATGACAATCAATTTCAATATGTTTGGTGCGATCATGAAAAACATCATTGTGAGCAATCTGAATGGCACTCTGATTGTCACAGTAGAGAGGGGTAGGAGTAGATGAAGAAACTCCCATATCAGCAAGGAGCCAGCGAAGCCAGAGAAGTTCCTGAGTAGTATCAGCAAGAGCTCGGTATTCAGCTTCGGTGCTAGAGCGGGCAGTGAGTGATTGTTTTTTGCTACGCCAAGCAAGAAGAGAATCCCCTAAGAAGAAGCAGAATCCCGTGGTGGAGCGTCGATCCGTAGGATCCCCAGCCCAATCAGCATCAGAGAAGGCACGTAGGTCAAGAGAGGAAGAAGCCGAGAAGTGAAGACCATGGAACAGAGTGCCTTTGAGGTAGCGAAGGATGCGGGGTAGAGCAGTATAGTGGGGAGTGCGAGGAGCCGACATGTACTGACTGACAATGTGAACAGCATAGGCAATGTCAGGACGAGTGACTGTGAGATAGACAAGACTGCCGACGAGCTGGCGATAAAGAGTAGCATCAGAGAGAAGAGTCCCATCGAGAGGAGTGAGACGAATCTGAGGATCAACCGGAGTAGAGGCAGTTTTGCAATCAGTAAGACCAGCTCGAGCCAGAAGATCGGATGCATATTTGGCCTGGGACAAATAGGAACCAGTAGAATCATGAGAGACTTCAAGGCCTAAGAAGTAGTTAAGAGTACCAAGGTCCTTCATCTCAAACTGGCGGTGGAGAAACTGTTTGAGGTGGAGAATACCAGCTTCATCATTACCAGTGATAATCATATCATCCACATACAGAAGAAGAAGAGTAGTACCATGAGAAGTAGTCCGTATAAAAAGAGCAGAGTCATAGGAGCTAGAGGTGAACCCAAAATCATGAATGGTAGAACTGAACGTAGCAAACCAAGCACGAGGTGCTTGCTTGAGACCATAGAGAGCACGCTGTAGTTTGCAAACCTGATGAGGGGGAAAAGTGGACCCAGGTGGAGGTTGCATGTAGACCTCCTCAAGGAGATGACCATTGAGGAAAGCATTTTTGACATCCATCTGAAAGAGCCCCCAGTGGCGAGCAGCAGCAACGGCAAGTAAACTGCGAACAGAGGTAAGCCGAGCAACATGAGAGAATGTCTCCTCATAATCAATACCATATTCCTGGTTGAAACCCTTGGCAACAAGACGAGCTTTGTAGCGTTCAATAGAGCCATCAGAATGTGTTTTGATTTTGTAAACCCATTTGCAGCCAATCGCAGTCTTGCCAGGAGGAAGATCAACAAGATCCCAAGTATGAGCTTTGTCCAAGGCTTGGAGTTCATCAGTCATAGCTTGCTGCCAAAGAGGATTAGTACAAGCCTCACGATAGGAGGTAGGTTCATAAGTAGAGAAGGCAGCAGATCCAACAATATAATCACGAAGATGGATAGGAGGTTGAGTTACCCAGCGTGGTCGACCCGTAGGAGGATCGGTGGGAGGAAGAACCGGTGGAGAAGGAGGTGTAGCAATAAGAGGTAGACCTTCATGGAGAGCAGATTGGATGGGAACAGGAGTGAGCAAGGGCGTCTCGATGAAGGAGGAACCTGTATCAAAATCAGCAGAGAAAAGATCTATGGAAAGATTAGTAAACAGTACAGTAGTGGAAAGTGCGGGTAAGTGAAAGGAGGATAGCGAGGAAAACATTTGGTGCTCCTAGAAAACGACATGGAGGGAGATACAAAGACGTTTAGAGAGAGGATCCCAATAGCGAAAGCCTTTATGTTCAATTCCATACCCAAGAAAGCAACAAAGACGAGAACGAGGTTCAAGCTTGGTGTGTTCATGGGATTGGAGTAGAACAAATCAGGCAGAGCCAAAAACCCGGAGATTGGCGTAAGGAGGGGGAGTGCCATGCAGACGTTCAAAGGGAGTTTGATTGTGGATGACAGGGGTAGGAGCACAGTTGATAGTGTAAACAGCAGTGAGGGCAGCTTCCCCCCAAAAGTTTTCAAGGCAGGAAGAAGAGAGAAGGAGAGCGCGAATAGTGTCAAGAATATGCCTATGTTTCCGTTCAGCGCGACCATTTTGCTGGGACGTGCCAGCACAAGGACGATGAGGCAGTGTACCATGATGCTGAAGAAAGGAAAGGAAATCTGAATCCCGATATTCCATAGCATTGTCAGAGCGAAAAATTTTGATGGCTTTGGAGAATTGGGTGTGGACCATTTAGGCAAATCTATAGTAAATGTGTTTAAGTTCAGACTTATTTTTCATAAGAAAAAGCCAAGTAAACCGGGAAAAATCATCAATAAAAACAACAAAATAGCGGGATCCCCCCATAGTAGTAGTAGGGGAAGAGCCCCAAATATCCGAATGTATAAGATCAAAAGGTGCAAGGGAAACAGAAGTACTTTTATTAAATGATAAAGCAGGTTGTTTGGCAAGTTGACAGGGGATACAATCGAAATTATCGGGAATTACATGACCCAACTGTCCACTAGAAACCAAAGACCGTAAGCGATTAACAGAAATATGCCCTAAACGACAATGCCAAAGATGAAAGGGAGATAATAAGGAAGTAGATGTAGGAGCAGCAATCTGAGGAGAGGCAGGAACATGAAGGTGAATGAGTTCATAGAGACGTCCACGCTTACAGCCGATCCCAATAGTCTGCCCCGTCTGAGGGTCCTGTACCAAACAATCAGTAGCAGAAAATGTGACAGTTAGACCAAGTTCACATAATTGACCAATGGAAATAAGGTTTAAGGTGAGAGCAGGGATATGATAAACTTGAGGTATAGATAAAGAAGAGGTGGAAACAGTACCAACATGACGGACAGACATGAGGGAACCATCAGCAGTATGAATTGAGGGAATATGAGGAGATGAGGAGAAGGAAGAAAAGATAGTAGAACTGGAGGTCATATGATTATAACAAGCAGAGTCAAAATACCAAAAAGAGTTACCTGGGATTACAGACAAAGCAGTAGGAGGAGGTGTACCAGAAGGGGAGAGAAGTTATTTGAGCATGGCCTCTACATCCGTCGGAGAAAAGCGAGGGGTAAACGGAGCAGGTGACTCAGAGAACCCTGCAGAGGCAGCAGCATCAGTGTGATGAGACTGATTCCCAGAAGCAGCAGCAGCAGTGTGATGAGACTGATTCCCGGAAGCAGCAGTAGCAGTGTGATGAGACTAATTCCCGGAATGATGAAAGCTTTCCCGGGAAGAGCCACCGTGAGAGGAGTGGCTATTGGAGGATAATCGGGATGGATTGCGAAAACAATCCTGTTGCAGATGACCAGGACCAAGTTTGTTGCAGTAGCGGTAGGATCTGACGGGACAATTGACCAGGAGATGGGTTGAAGGAAGGCCCCGATTCTGACAATAGAGACAAGCAGTGGTCCGCTGGGTAAATGATGGCCGGTACGAAGGAGTGGCAAGAACAGAGTCCACATGATGAGTTTGAAGTGTCCCGAGACGAGTCTCCTCTGATAGCAACTCAGAAATTGCTTGTTCAAAAGTGGGCAATGGATGGCAATGAAGCAGAGAGGCACGTACAGGCTCAAAAGAGGAAGTAAGAGCCATGAGAAAGTGCACCAACCTTTGCTGGTTGCGATAGATAGTAAATAAAACAGCATCTTCGTGGTTATGCCAAGTTGGTTCTGAAAGAGCAAGCTAATCCCAAATAGAGTACATTTGAGAAAGGAAGTATTAATGGGCTGAGTGGATTCTTGGCGCACGCGGTGAAGTTGGTTCTGAAGTTGATATTAATGGGCAAGACCAGTAGTCTAGTATCGTTCTTTCAAAAAATCCCAGATGTCTTTTGCAGGAGTAGTTACAGAGTCAAGCTGAAAGCGACCAAACAGAAGACTGATAGAGGTAACAGAGGTATTACGAAACCAGGTAATGATTTGGTAATTCTTACTGTCCCATTCCTCAAGTCGGTCTTCATATGTAGCAGCAGGAGCATTAGTTTCATTAGTGGCACTGTCTTTCACCGTTTAGTCACATCCCGGGTGACAATTCGCCAGAGCTTCTTTCCTTTGAGGAAGGATGACATGGCTTGGGCCCACAGAACATAGTTTGAACCATTCAAAATAACGGAAATGGGATGGGAGGCATCATGACGATCCATAATACTAGTTGAGTAGGGTTAAAGCAATAGGAATAGACCTGTAAGAGCAAAATTAGGTAAAACAGAGTGTACCAGTGAGTTCGGAAAGTCGAAAATAGCAAGGAAAGGTATGCTGGACAGAGATGATGTCAGCAATGATGTCAGCGGCGCACGTTAGCAGAGTGCAGGGAGGAGCACGTTAGCAGGAAGGCGGCGGCGCACGGTAGCGGACAAGCGCAGGCGCGGCGCACGGTAGCTGTTTTGGCGCATGCGGGTGCACACTAGTGAAGCGACGCATGAGAGGCGTACAGTAGCAGGTGCGGCGTACGGGAGAGGCAGGGCTGACGTCAGCCGCAGACGTGTGGGGACGTGTGGGCGCGTGGCAGAAGTGAGCAACAACAGATGGCGCGTGCGGGCGCGTGTGAGAGTGGTGGTGGAAGTGGTGACGCGCAGAGGACAAAGGCGGCGTGTGTGGGCGCATGGAAGGTTTTCTGAGGACGGGCTTGGTGCCGTTGGAATCGTGAGGAAATTCCGAGCGGTTTGATGTAGTGCCACTGTGTACGAGACTAAACACTAAAATCGAAAATTGCCAGAAATGTAACACTGGGCTCTGATACCATGAAATAATATTTTGAGAGAGTGAGAGAGGATAGAGAGAGAGAGAGAGAGAGAGAGAGAGACACTGAATTGTTTCTGTAATTGTGTGTGTTTATTACAAAGAGAATGCACTCTCTTTATAGAGAGAATATGATGCATTGGATGCCCACCGAAAGCATAAAGAATAAAGTGCTAAAGTTATTAACAATTAAAGCTATTAACAATTATACACTAACATGAAATATATGAATCAGATTTTTATGTTTAATTCTACACCTTACATTTAGATTCTGAATACTTTTCTGATTACATAATATTTTTCAAAAAATAATTTGTTTTGTCAATCTACGCAAGACTACGAAGGGATTATAGCCCTCCACTCGTATAATTTTGAGAGACTAAAAGGCTTATGCTGTTGTTGTTGTTGTTGTTGTTGTTGTTGTTGTTGTTGTTGTTGTTGTTTGATTTGGGCAAAAAATTATGTTGTTTGTAACAATCAAATTTTAAATTTTTATTTTTATTTAAGTGAATCATTTTCCTTAAATTCTTTGAAGAAATAATATTTTCATTAATTAGCAGAACAGAACCCAATATTAAAAAGGAAATCATAAAGCTCAAAGGTCTATGCATGCTGTGCAAACACTGCTAAAATTGGGAACAAAAAGTAAGGAAACAAAATAAATTTGGGATAAGAAAAACCACACTATAATTGATTAAAAAATGCTGGAAAAGATCCAAGTTTATACAACTTTCAATTTAATAACAAGCTAACATATTTTCTGAAGCAAGTGACCACATTGTCTTCACAATATTTTCCAAATTGAGAGAGAGAGAGAGAGAGTTGGGGATCAAGTATTGCTCCAGAACAACCTCTCAAGTGTTTGTGCTATACTGTCCATTTTGTGGTGCCTGTTGATTCGTTTGATCACCAAGCTCCACATTAACTTGCTCATTTTCTTCCATGTTGGACTGAAAGTTGTTGATCACAGCTTGACCAATTTTACCCAACATCTGGATGTCGGCATTGTTCAGCACTCCTTGTTGTGGTGAACCATTAGGCCTATTGGCTCCACCATTTTGCCCTGCACAAGAAAGCCATGGTTCAAGCATAATATTACATACATAAGTAATATTTATATAGATTTGAGGGGTTTTAATGCTAGTTTCTTTTATAAATACTCAAAATTACATAGCCTAATTAAGTTTTTGTGCAGTTTGAGAGGGCCAACATAAAACTATATAAAATTTTGATTCCTCTTATAAGTACTTAAACAGTAAGGGGCCAATCAAGACTTTGTGAAATTTGAGCTGCAGTCCCCCACCACCCCCTCTATCCACCACTGTTTTGCAGCCTCACAAGTCCAACCATCATACTACTAATACAAAAACAAATCGCAGAATGCGACACAGATCATTACATGTTCGTGAGTTCTATAATATGTGGAGCTCATAGGCACGTGGCCTATTATTACTTCTGTATTGGTAGTATTTTTGTATGGTTCATTTCTTTTATGTTGAAAAAACATAAATTAGCATGAGTTTAATATTGCATCTTTTTTTTCTTTTTTTTTTCCCTAACCTGCTCCAATTGAAGCCACAGCAGCAGTTTTTCTCTTATGGTGCAAGATAGCGCAAACACCAACAATAACCCAGAAAACAACGAAAATAGGAATCGTGACTCCAAGTATTATTGGTAGAATGCTGCTCTTCTTAGTACCACTACCAGAATCAGTAGTTGATGATGATGGAGTCTCATCCCCAGGTGAATTTGGAGATGTGTCGGTTGTCTGACATGACTTCCCAGATGCGCACAAGTTAGGATTGCCCGTCACACTGCAATACACAAATAAAAATGCACAACATAGCATGAAATTTAAGCTTAGTTTCACTTACTAACATAGTACGAAAGTTGGGTATAGGATAGCTTACACTAATTTAATTTTGTTGTTATTCGATAGTGAAGTGGGTATGGATCCACTGAATTGATTATTAGCCAAGTTCCTGGAAAATAAGAAGATAAAAAGGTTAACTTTTTATTGATTAAGACATCAAGAAATTATCTAAAAGAAAATTAGAGAGGAATGTCAAAGGGAATTTAACAGATGCTCACAGTTCTTTTAGATTTGGTAGAGTGCCGAGGAAATTAGGAATAGGACCAGTTATACTGTTATTGTGCAGATCTCTGAAAAAAATAATAATTTAATCTGATGAAGACATAGATGCATTTATTTACTAATTAGAGTTTCAAATTTTCTATTATTAAACTCACATTGTCTCAAGAGCAGTCATGGAACTAAAATCAGGAAGTGTTCCTGACAAACCAAACCCATTGAGATACCTGTTTTTTTTTTTTTTTTTTTTTCACAAAGTAAATAAATCAATATATATAGAACATATCAAAAAATTCAATGTTTTATATGATGAGGATGGTGAAGTTGATTTACAGAGATGTAACACGAGGCACGGCATCACTGCTACAGTTGATCCAGTCCCATGAATATGGTGCTGGAAGACATGGGTCACCGCCCCATTCTTGTAGTACATCAAAATTCTTTTGCAGCGAACCTAATCCTCCCACTACAATTCAGCAAGAACCATGCAACAAAAAATAGAAACATTAATCAAGTAATCTGATCCAAATATTTGGAATTTTTGACACTAAATTACCAGTTTATGACTGGCTAGTTCTCAATATGAACCCCAAAAAGTAGCAGAACTAGATTACACGAAAATAAAACAGGCCAGATTAATATTAAATTCACCTTACACAAATTTGACTCGGTGAACGAATTTAACTTTATAGAAATATAAATACCAATACCAACCTCCTATTGTTTATATTTTCATTTTCTTCTTTTTCTTAGCATAATTGAAGCTTTTAATTCAAGTCATTTTTTGTGTTAAATCAAATAAATTTATTTCAATCGTGTCATTCTTATCATATTCTAGTTAACATGTTTTCGAGAGTTAATGTCAAAAAAACTTGAAAGGCTATAGCTCTAGCCTTAAACGACTAAATTGGTCATTTTAGGCCTTCAATTTTAGAAGACTTTTCAATCCTTCTTGTTCAAAACCTAAAAAAATTATGATTTTTTTTTTAAGAAAAAATAATCTTCTTGTCTAGTGATTGGAAAATAAAATACTTCAATGTCAAAGGTCCCCAATCATCCTATTACAAAACTAAAAATAAAAAATAAAAAAGTCCCGAAGCATAAATATTGAAAACACGTTTTGTCCAAAGGCTCAAACTAGCCGACTTAAAAACCCTAATGACAAAGGCTAACAAATTATTTCAATTATCTAAAGGTCTACAAAAGAAAGTTTTTTTTTTATCATACAAAGGCTCAGTTTAAATCCTCCTTAACTACTGCCCTAATAATAGAGGTGATACATAAACCTTTGAATTTTTTTTATCTTTAGTAGTTTAAAAATATTATATATAGAAAAGTTAAGCCAATCCTAAATACTTAATACAAATAGCTAAACAAATCAGATTATTATTGAAATAATTCTGAAATAAACTAAAGACAACACTACACAATTGAGAGTTTAGAAACAAACCATCAATGCTATTAGTTCCATGGGTAAGAGGATCACTGATGTAAAACACTTCCATGGCATTGATGATAGGAGGAAGAGTAGAATCCGAGGTAGCAACCAAAGTAAACGTAGTATTCGCCGAAGCAGTGAAGTTAGTGGCATACAACTCCGTCACAGTTTCATAAGGAGGTATTATAGGTTGTGAGAAAGACTGGTTGTTTTTGTAAAGCCTAAACGATCTCTTCTGCGTTGTGGGGTCAAGTTGAGTCACTTCGGAGAAGTACAAGGTAATGTAGGTGAGAATTCCAATAGCTGGAAATGTAGCACCCAAGATTATGTATTCGGATGTGGCTGAGGTTGTGATTGCGTTTTGCACCGCTGCCATTGGAGGATCGTCTTCTGCACCCGAAGTTGTGATCAATAGTGCATCACTTGCCACCGTGAGTAGTCCATTGCCGACTTGTCCTGTTTCCCAAATTCTATCATATGGATCATCTGAGAACCTGGTAAAATCCATCAAAATTAGTTAGAATACTTAGGTAATTAATTATGGCAAGTCTATGAACCACAAAAAGAAAATCAAAAATTGTCTCTAAATTTTATATCTATGTTGTTGATTTAATCTTTTCTATAAATTAATCTTCACCTTTGATTTTTTATTCTGAGTTATTTTTTGGTCTATTTTTCTGAATTTGTACACCTATTGAATTAATTAAGGATGGTGCACAAGCACTACTATCTCAAAACATAGTTGACTTTGCCCTTGGCCAAGTATAGTTGACTTTACTTGGAAATTTAAATGAAGGTTTCCATTCATTTTCATACAATTACAACACATCTCAAAATCCTATCCATCGTTATAAGTTTAAAAAAATAAAAAAATAAAAATAAAAATCATAATATTTTTTAATTTAAATAAAAATTTATGAGAAATGTTATTTATTATAATTTTTTGCATAAAAAATTATTAAGAAAATAAATTTAAAGTTAGTAGAATGTAAGTTATGCTCAGAATAATTATAATCCATAGATATACTTTTTTTTTTAATATGTAACATTTTTGAAAATTTATTATTGTAGATTTATCATGAAATGATCATCTCCGTTTTTTCTCTATTGAATGAAGATGATTTGCATTCGAAAATTAATATTTGAATTGTATCATAGACAACCCATAAGCAGATATTAAAACTAGAGTATATGTTTAAAATGTATATGGATTTATATATCACAAAAGTAAAAAATTTACAAACAGAATTTAAAAAATAAAAATAAAAATAAAAACCTCATCCAAAATGATATGGTTGTAACATTTTTGAAATTATAAATTATAATAGTGATTATTTTGATATAAAATGATTACTCGTGAGTATGACTTTATGCAATCTATTTTTTCCAAATCTTCATCTAATAGAATGTTGTTAGGGTGGAAAAATGGTTGTTACTTTCAACTTAGCTTAATCAAGTTTTATGTTAAGATCAAGACTACCAGCTATAACATCACTTCTCAAAAATAAAAATAAAAATAGTATCTGGCTATAGCATGAAATACATACTAACATGAGTCCATAAACAGAAGGCATACCTTACAGCCGCAGGTGCACCATAAGCAGTCCTACTACTCAAGAACAAAGCAAAATTGGCATCAACATGGCTGTACATGTTTGAACCCAAGCTACGTACTTCAAGTGCAGACATAAATGGAAACTGGTTGGGCTTCGTTTGAGCCACACACACACTAATACTATCCCCTTTCACAACATAAGTCACTTCATAGTAAACCATCTGAGTGCTCGAAGTCACAATTGTTGCCCAATCATTCCCATCAAACTGAAGATCAAAGGTCGGTGGAGCCGATTTCTGATCATAGTTTCCATAGTAAAAGCTCGCTCGAACGAGGACTTGCCCTCCCTTGTCGGCCTTGATTATGTAACAGTTCTTCTTACGTGTCGTGAACACTCTCAGAGTGTCCATCACATGTGAGATTGAGTTGCTAGGAGGAACTGTTTGTGCCACACCATTTTGGATAATGTCATTGTCACCCATCCATACTATGGAATTTGGGTCAGTGTAGATGTCGGATGATCCACAATCAATGCTCGTGAACACTGCAGAATATTAAAAAAAGGCAATAAGTCTAAGAACACAGAAACTGATAGGGTTTCAGAATATTGCAAGGGACTTACCATCGGCGGAGACAGAGAGAGCCGAGAGAGCTGAGAGGAGGAGCAAGAAATGGATGGCCATGGTGGGTTGAAGCATGAGAGATGGAAAGAAGGGTTGAGAGGTGTTAAGGTTATTTATGAGGGATGATCTTGACTTGGTAATCTTGATTATTGCTAATGACAGAACATTAGTGGCAAGGTTCATGTGGTGGGGGGTGTTTGGTAGTCATAACACAATTCCTACTACTTGATAACTTGATTCCTAATTGAATGTGCGAGTTCGAGTGAGAATTGGGATTGAATCTATCAAAAGACTAAGTCAGGCTAACCGTAATACTAAATTACAGAAAAAATATTCAGAAAATTGCATATATAGAACTTGAAATTTATGGGTTAGAGATAGATTGTCTAGTCCATTAAGTCCGTATAGTTTATTGTAAGTCCTATTACAATGATACAATCTATTCACATTATAAGTATTTATGTATAAATCATCTAAAAAAATAAATTAATCGGTTAACTACAATCAAAAGTTTTTTCTTTAAAAAATTGGGTTTGTATTTTAAAAACCATACTCACTATTTATTTTTATTTTTAAATATATATGAGAAAATGTTACTACAACTATTACATAAATTTAGTTTTTTTAATATACAATTCACGCATAAAAATTTATAAACTAAACAAATTGAAACATAAGAATAGAGCCCATAGTAGCACCACTGGCCCAATTGTCCAATCCACAAACTTGGATTGTCTCATTATAGATTACATATATTCATCTTGGATAGAGTTGACATCATATTAAGTTTAAAATTTACATTATATACCCAATTTTAAAAACAAATTAAAATAAAAAATTGAGTACACAGTGTTTTTGGCCAAACTAAAATCAAAACTCAAACAATTTAGCAAACAATTTAGCATGACTTTCTTGGTTTTCGAGCCAATGGACAAGTGACATATAAGAATGCTCCCCTAGCCTAGGGTTGAGTTTGCCTGATAATCCCTTTTTAATTTTTTTTATTTTTATTTGTAATTTATCTGGATTTGTTTTGTATTGTTGATATTGACTTCACTGCAAGTTGGTGGTAGAGTCAACGGAAGAAACGGGGAGAAGCGAAGGAAAATACAAGAGGCGTAATCCGGGTAGTCAAGATCTACGGCTGTAATTGCCATGATGAGTTGACTTTAGATGAGCTAAGTCTGTCAACGGCCAGAAATGATTGATATTCATAGACAGAGAAATTTAATTCCGTGATATTCTCGTCACATTGTTGATTAGTACGTTAAGCAGGTATAATAGTACTAGTTTTCTCTGATTTCTAACTACGTGCGCAAAAATGGCTAGCAAATGGTAAGCCACTCCTGTAAAAAAAAAAAAAACAAGTCTACTGAAGTGGCATCCTATTTTTAAAAAAAAAAATTAAAAAATAAGTAAAAGACAAAATAAGAAGAAGAAAAAGACAAATTAATGCTCATTTAGAACTCCTCATTTAGAGGTCTAAATCATTTTTGAAAAAAAAAAATGGTAAGCCACTCGCTTCCAACGCTGCATTGCATATCGTTTAGTATTTTTTTGGCTAAGTCAGTCAACTTTTTTTTATTTGTGGTCTTTAGTTTAAAACAAAAAAAAAGTCTTCCAGTCCGTTTAAATTGAGTGATTTAGAGAAAAAATATATATATAAAAGAAAAGAAAGAAAGAAAGAAAAAATTAGATTTCTCTTAATTATTTGGATTACTAAAAAGGAGAGAAATTAATATAAATGACATGAAATGGAAATAGAGACAAATTGATTTATCTTATCATCACTTTTTGAATTACTTCAAAATTAAAGAAATTGGGAGAGATAAAAATTGGATGATTACTAATTTTATAAAATGCCAAAGTTGTCGATCTAACTACTAAAGACATAAAAGCATAAAAGATTATTTTGGTAATATAATCTGTAAGAGTTTTTTTTGTTTTTTTTTATATAGTCTTATCAGTTATATATTTTGTATAAACTAATCACAGTTTAACACATGGCATGAAAAAAGGATAATTTGGGGATTTAATACAAGTCTCCAACTAGTAACAGATACATGGCGGTTCATATTGGTAATAATGAATCTGCGCAGCACTAGAATAGTTAGAAGGCGCAAGATGACGTAACCCAACGATAACTCACAAATTCAAATTCAAATTCAGGAGGGAAGCCTAACTGCAAGAATGGCTTAGTGGTATTAAATGTGAGAGAGCATGATCAATAATCGTGAGAGGACATTTCGACAGTTAAAAATCCATTTCGACGATTACCATTGAAGAGTATAAATAGAAGAAAATGCTCCAAAATGAAAGACCCACACTCAGACCCAGAAATCAGTTTATTTATGTCATATTTCTTTTCAGTTCTTTACATTTTCCAGCACTTCAATTCCTATACTGCACTTCATTTCTTAAAAGTAATTTCAAGTAGCCGTTGTTGTAAACATTTTCAAAGCTGAGTCATTTCATTGTAAGTTCCTATTTACTCAATAAAATTCAGTTTCTAAATTGTTCTGTATTTGTTATTCTTATAAATTTCTTCTAAAACAAACTACTAGTAAAAGTCCTCTTCATTGAGGCTGAAGGAATTTCAACACAATTGTCTGATAATTGGTTAGCAATTAAAATTCTATAAGGATTGATTGATTCTTGCTAGCACGCTTAAATTTATACTATTAACCTCCAAAAGTCAAAAAAGCTAACAAGTCTATCCAAACAAGATTGGAAAGAAATCACAAACTTTTCTTCTGTTCACTACAAGAGAACATACTTTTTGAGTCGGCAGGTTACTGTCGCAAAAAACATAATTGCCGTCGCAAAAACTTTTTGCGACGGTCTTTCGACGGCATGGTGAGGGTCGAGAGTACGGGGGTCGCTAAAACTTTTTGAGTCGGCAACTGTGCCGTCACAGAATATTTGCGACGGCAAAATGTATTAATTGAGACGGTATCCTGCCGTCACAAAAAAGACCAAAAAATAAAAAAGCTAACAAGTCTATCCAAACAAGATTGGAAAGAAATCACAAACTTTTCTTCTGTTTTCTCTCTAGCCTAACCAAACGAGAGGGAGAAATCCTAATATTTTCTCTTCTTTTTTTTTTTCTCTCTTAGCTTAACAAATCATTTTTTCTTATTTTCTCAGTATATCCAAACATAATATTCAAGACTTGTGATAGATTTTTTAAAAAAATTATTCAAAATAAAAAAATAAAAAACTGCTAAGAAGTATTTGGCAGACCAACCATTAATTTGGGCCCTACATAAAAGTAAGGATGAATTTTTTAAACCAATATCAAATTATGAATTTAGATAGTAATTTGAAAAGTAAAATAGAAAAAATAAGTAAAATATAAATAAAATATAATTATATTTCATTTACTTATTATTTATATTTTTCTTTTCAAATTTTTATTTAAATTCATATTATAAACATAGCATGCTTGGGTGTATAAATAATATTAATGGAATTATTAGATGGGATTACGAGCGTTTGGGATTATAGAAAGGATTGTGAGAGATAAGTTAAATTAGGAATAATGAACAGGATAGAGAAATAGGAAATTATTTGTGGTTAAGATGAGATAAAATTTGAATAATAATATATAATTGTTTTTTCAATAGAAAAATAACTTTGACAGGTCTAATTTCCCCCCAACACCCTTTTTATATGGTATTACTTATCTCTTTTTTTTTCCATTTAATTAATCCATATACCATTATTAAAATTACATATAGCAAATCGAAAAACGCGGCAGCCTACATGTAATAGTTCTTGTCCATTATCCTTGTGAAGTGTGAACTATTGCTGGAGTTTAGAAGACTTTTATACACACAGCATGCCCTAGAGGCCATTAAAAAATAAATAAAAATTCCATTCGAGAACAAGTCCAGAGCGTTCCGCTTTAGCATGTGCTAAAGATTTGGAATCCAATATTATTACATTCATTCAAGTTGGGGTTAAGCTAGGGAAGACCAACTTCCTCTCCCCCCAAAATTGTGTCTTTTGATGTAATTTTTCTTTGAGAATTAATACCTAAAGGTTATGTTTGATTCATAAAATTAATAGTGAAATATTAATAATTTTATTAAATTAGTTTGGTATTCACTATCCAATTGGATTAATATCCATTGGATTAATAATTCCAACCCTACTCCATTACTAATAATCCTACAAATTTGTTGGATTAATTATCCATTGGATTAATAATCCTAAACCAAAATGTTAAAACAAACATAGAATAATTGGGCCAACAGATTAATAATCTCAATCTCATACTCTAATCCACCTAATCAAACATGCCCAAAAGGTACATACTACTGTTGTGTTTGGTTAGAAATTTTGGAGAGAGATTTGAAAAATAAAAAATAAAAAAAAATGTATGAAACTAAGTGAAATGTAAGTATATATTTTATTTTCATTTCACCTACCTTTTCTATTTCCCTTTTCAAATCCCTTAATAAATCCTCCAACCAAACACAGGGTAAAAACACTCATTATCTGGTTTTCAGATAATCAGATTTTTTTAATTTGTTTAAGTTATTTATGTCCCAAAATTCATAAACAAAAATTATATCAAACACGTTGGACAAAAATTTAAGACATATAACTCCAATAAACTGTACCAAACATCCTTTATACTCCACAAACGAGCATCGGGGGCCTCGTTACTGTGTTAGTAACATACATTGTGTACCCGTTAAGTTAATCCAATAATAACAAATAAGATGACAAATAAAATCTGATAATATATATATATATATATATAAAATATAGAGCAGCATTAGTCTTATAGTTCATAATTAATATCGTTTTAAATGGCTGTCCATATTCAAGCCCACACGGCTTGTGGCATAGAATATCCTTTAGACAACTTAAGATTTTGCCCAAAGCCCACAAAGTTTTGAAGCCCAAATGCTTGGGCTAAAAATGTTCTTGTCAAAAGACCAGCAACAACACTCTTGTTCAAAGCGTAGTTTACAAATGAATTATAACAAATAAAAAAACATATTTATCCAAAGTGTCCAAAGGCAGAATTTTAACACCAAGAATAAAAATAAAAAGGAATTTTTATATTAAAATTTTCGTCATATAAATAATAATAACAATTTAAATGTAAAGAAACGCCTCCAAGTGACAAAATTTCATAGAGAGAGAGAGCAGAGCTTTTGCGACTCTTCTTCATTTGTTAATCATTCAATCACTAAAAAAATAAATATTAAAAA